GAGGATGATTAATACCAGAAATGTAGATATAAACCATGAGGAATATATTTTTATGAATTAATTAGCGGGCACCGTGCCCGATCTGATTTTAACATTTCTTTCAATCACTTTGGATATTAGCCAACAACCTTCAATGCTTCAAACTGAGGACCCTCAGCATCACTGACGAGTTCCAAAAGAACAAAACAGAGGTATGATTGAGTTTTTTTCCATTGTTTGGCTTTAGTGTACAGAGTACATTACTCTTCTCCTTGATAAGAAGGTGAAATTCACTTTCGTGTTTTTGTACATATTTGAGAAAAAGAAAAACCTGATTTTTTGTTATCGAACATCTCCTCATAATGGAATAATTACTAAGTGTTTTAAAGAGACGCAAACAAAATTGTAAGCAAGACATTAATGATTTCATACATATCTAATATAATTTTACATATAAACGTAATATAACATAAAAAGTCATATTTGATGACGAGAGTTTAACGTTTTAAATATTTTATAGTCAACTACTATAAACATCAGGATATGTTGGGTAAAAATAACTTAAACTTTCTATAATTGCTGAAGTTGGTATCCAAAAACTGCAACACTATATGTGTTATAACATGTTTTCAAATATATGTCATGGCAATCACGTGTATACAATAAGCGATTCTATAATTTTAAAAAAATAAGGCCAGGCCCAGTAAGAAAATATTTTCAACGCAGTTACCTTTTTTATATGTGGATTCCAAAATCAACAAAAATACCTCAGCCGTGAATATATTTCTAAATTGAAATTCTTTGTCCGTTGCTGGTATCAGTTTAATTTAGAACATTTAAAGAGAAATGGTGAAGTTTCGTTACTCAGTGTCAGTATTTGAAAACATAAGACTCGGTTGGATTGGTATGCACGTGTTTCTATTTCAAACCTTTCCATTTTACACTTCATGAAATCATTATATATGTTTAAGTTAGGAAATACAATTTTGATTTCTTAGTAGGACAAAGTAATTCGCATCCGTTGTAAAAATAACAAATCTCAGTTCTATATATAAACAATAATGTGAAGTAACATATAATCAAATTAAATATATTGAAAACGAAACCGGAGGATGATTAACACGAGTTATGTGATATCATTTTAAAATCTAAAGCTGACTATCACATATAGCATTTATATTTTATGGTATGACATATTTATGCCGTTGAAAGCAACTACAATTTACCTAAACAAGATGAAAGATGTTTTGTCTTGTCACGTAAAATTTGCGGTTGTATGAGCTGGATTGAATGACGTACAAACTGCTGCACAGTCTAGAATGCAGAAACACATAAACTCATAAACACTTATGCCGACTTTGCTACTTTTGGTCATTGTATTTAAAAAGTTTCGTTTCTTCTTATTCTTCACCTGTCAATATTTCAATTTGTCAAAGAATATGTTTCCGTTAGCTGAACGTAGCAGATAATATTTAGTGACGGGAGTGATGTTCCTCCGAAATCAATTCAAACTAAAAAATCAAAATCGTTTGTCTTAGTTTTTATCCACTTTCATCAATAGATTAACTTTTTGTGTGTAAATGTGTTTCTTTTAGGCAAGCATACTTTTTTCGTTTTTTCTTTTAATAATAGCTAATTTCAAGAGAAAAGACAGCCATGCAGAAACAATACTTCTTTTTTCAATCACATGTAGTAGTTAATTTAGGTATATAAATCAGCTAAAAAATGTTTACATATATAGCAAAATATCGTAATTAAATGAAAGGACAAACGGAAGATATCTATGTACACTCTCTACTCAAAGATAAAAATCATCACTTTAAAAAAGTCTGACTTAGACTGACATCTAATACTTAATAACTGTTGTTCTGCTGGAAGTGTTGTAGTTTTCGATAGTTAATTACAAAATGAAAAATAATTAATGATTTTCCTTTCCAAGTTAATTTCGAATGGTTTCTATATTATATTAAATTGCCTACGCAGTATCAGATTATAATGGCGCATTTTAATGTTTCGCCCACAGGTAAAGTGAATAGTACACTCTCACCAACAGGTAATCAATGTAAAGGAAAACGGAAATGGGTTAAACTAATGTAGGTGTTCCAAATAAACTTTTCTGAGGATTACATATTTAGCCAATGGCTAATCTTCCGTATGGTCCTCTTGTTAGTAAAATACAGTATGTATATGTGTTAGTTAAAAGTTACATATTGTATATACAACAAAATGAAAGGATTATACATGCTTTAACTACTGCAGTTTTTACTTTATGTTACTTTATCATTGGTCAATATTTTTATAATGTTTAAAATATCCCGTGTAGACCCCAACCTAATGTTATAATTGTATATCATACTGTTTTGGGGTAGAAGTTGTGTGAATGAAAGTGATTTGTCGCAAAATAAATTCTTCATAAATAACAAACGCAAACACGTCAAATCTGTATGTGACAATTAAGAAAATACTGACATATTACACTTTCTTATAAAGATGCATATGTATTGACCAAATGGAAACCAGAAGAACTTAGGTAATTTCACTGCAGTTCGTTACAAATGATATGAGCAAATGGTTCTACATTACTTCAATAACAACATTAGTGTTTTTCTTTTCAAATAATAAAAAAAATCTACTACAATAACAGTGACAAGAGCCCTAAGGGCATTAGCGGTCACCTGAGTAACAATGCTTCTTGTAACATGTCATAGAAAAATGATTTTGTTGAAAAAAGTAATATAACTTTAACTGTATTGTGCATATAGTGTAAATTGAGCATATATAAACTGCTGTTCCGAACTGAGGCTTCTTACCACCTTTGTATTAAAAGAAATTACACACAAAATTTGAATTTTCCTATATAAGATTTTCCATTCAGAACAGTAGAGTATGTGGGGGTCAACTGAGGTCAGCATTTGCATCTCATGTCGTCTTAAATTAAAGATTATATGAAAGTTAAATCTATTTCCAATAGAAAATAAACAAATAATGTTCAAAAATGTTATTTTCCTATATAAACAAGCATTAACCAACCAACCCCCCCCCCCATCATATGGGAGAAATGTGTGATCTTGAGGCAATTTGCAATTTCATTAAAGCATCTTAAGGCCTTTCTATCCATGGAGAGTACTGATTCTACCATGCCTGGGATTAAAGGAGAAGATTTTGAAGTTTCAATAAATTTGACCCTTTTGGCCCGGTCTCTCAGGCCCTTGTAGGTTAAGTTTTTGTAAAATTTCACTTTGTCTCAGGTGGCCGAAATGCTTCGTACAATGATGGTGTAAAAGCATAATTGACGTATTTCATATTGATATATTAAATAGAATTTTGCCATCATGTCTCTTATAGAGTTAATGAACTCGTTGAAAGCAGGAAATATTAACCCCCAGTCGAAAATCTAAATGTTCCGTTACGTCCCGGCTTCTTTAAAATAAGAGAGAATTCTACAAACTAATCCAGTTTTTCTCATTCAAACTTCAGAAACAACAAGGAAATACAAACAAACTAACAAAAATCTAACACATATTCGTTGAAACCGGGGCAAAATATCAATGAATAATTGGCAATGAGATTCATAAAAAATATAAAGGTGAGACCAGATGTTCCGGAAGTGATAGCATATTCTGCTTCATTTTTATTCAATGGAACACACACACACACACCCCCTCCCCCCTTTAAATACTGCAGTTGATATCATCACTGCTTCATCTAAGGGGTAAGTCTCAAATCACATGACATCTACGAGACACAGCTCTCAGGTACCACACATGCATCCCAGTGAAAAATATTCCAATTTCTTGCGTGATATCAAGTTAGATTTGATCAATGCGACTTAGTGTGTATGATGGTGTCGCTGTTGTCTTGATTACATCTATAAACGTGATATTTACTTGTATTTACAGTATATATTTCCGGAACACTTGATCTTACTTTCTTTTTATTTCTCCTGGATCTCGCTTTTATTTGTTCTTCGTATCATCGATTTTAGATTAAACTGGAATTTTGCTTACGTATTGGTATTTTCCTTTCAGCTCTGAAATTATTCGTCATCGATGTTTTTATCTATAAACTTAAGATATTTCTACTGAAAAGTAAAAAAAAAAGGAGAAAATAATAATCCAACCAGAATTATGTTTAGATATTGCATGATAAAACAAAAATATAAAGTCCATATTTTATTTTTCAATTTCTGTTAGTATACGATTAATGGATTAATTTACCTAGCAAACAAGAACAGGATGAATAAGAATAAAACCATGTAAATGGTAATCTATTTATAGATCTGTCTTTACGATCATAAACCAACACCGCCCGTTTCATCAACAGAGCCAGTCTACTCTTATGTTATTGTAAGTGCTGTTTATAACATGATTGAAAAGAGAGTAGGATAAAAAATTTCAACAAGCAAAAAAGGAAAGAAACAAAATTTGCTAAACACAAAATTGAAAAAAAAAAAAAAAAAAAAGAAAAATGTGGACATTGTTGATTAGTACAAACATATGATCGTATTACTTACTATGATAATGTTGACAGAATTTTGTTGTCATTGGAGTCAGTTCATACATTTAATTTGTCCCTTTTATTATTCAAGCAAACAAAGCAGTACACTGCATTGGAGATAATAGTATTATATGACTTTTTTAACAAAGAGGCATAACATCTATTAAAAATAGTCGAAATCCTTGATATATGTCATCTAGATTAAACTCTTGAGAAGAGTCTTAACAAAGGGAAGTAACTTCCATAATAACAGTCGAAATCAGAAAATATACTTGAATGTATTGCTAGCACTAGTACAATTGAGTAAGAAAGAGAAAGGACACGAGAAATCACAAAACAATTAGTCAAAATAAGTAAGGAAATTGTTGTTTGGTAAAAAACTTATTTCTGACCGTTACATGTTGATCCGAGAAACCAAACAACGATAATTGTCATGGCGCTTGTGTCATCATCAACCGATGGATGGAATTTTTTCACTACATCTTAACTGAGGTCCACGCCGCTGTCATGACTGAATATTTTCCTCAAATATTTTCTTTTCTGTTTTCACTCTCGTTGTCAGCCGCTGATTTAGAGTTTGAGTAGAGGCATTCTTCAGCAATGATCTTTTCCCACTGGGTTAATTCAGCCGTTTTTTCCCTTATAAAAACTTAAAAAAAAGAAGGGAAATGAACAAAATGTTTTTAAAAAATATTTTGAATCGATATTTTTAAATCCCGAGGTTACTACAACATGTCATCGTTTTTGCTTTTTTAAAGTGTACTACTATAATTAAATTAAATTGTATTAAATTTAATTTAGTTTGGACATATCACACGTATTAAGTTCATATACACGCTGGATTGCATGAATCATTAAAATAACAAAATGACTTCTTCCCCTTACCGCTGATTAATGAAACTATCCAAGACAAATTCTGTCACAAATAATGAATACTTTTTCATATTACTTCCCGCTTTTATTACGAGTGTTTTTGTACTCCGTTTGAACAGAAAGGGGTGGTGGGTGTACTTTCGCTAATCTGACAATTTTTTAATCGGTCGTCGGATTGTATTGTATACATCACGGATTAAGACAAGCTCCTGTGTAAATTTATATAATATCTCATTAATAAAAAGTATAATACACAGACACAATATTGACAACATATTGATTTAAACTGCATCCGCGTGTATGTTCAGACATTCGCATTCAGTTCATTGTTAGTCTAACCAAAACGAAAAAAATCTCCTAATTGAAATTGTAAATGTCATTTCTGCGTGTATGAAGCACTTCAAATATGACGTAAAATTTTTTATGTCAACGGGATATATCAAATAATCAGCTAAAATGTAGACGAAAGCTTCCTGGTATATTTCTATGGGGACAATTGACATCGTTGGACTTGTGACGTCACAAATATGGGCTACCGATATTGAGGCGGTCGCCACTAAGTCAAAGGTGAGCATTTCAGATAAGTCATACTATCTTCAGAACGGAATAAATTACGAAGTTCACACTTTCTTGACTTCCTATAATATGATATGAAGTATTCTATAGCGTTATATTGCAAAACACTCAAGGCACACTTTGATGAGATCTAAGTGTTGTATTAATTATTATGAAAGCAAATGTTTTAGATTAAAGATAAAAGCTATTTTATAGAAAAAAATGACAATGGGATTTTCCTTTGAAAGAAAATATGAGTTCACGTCAAATTATACAGCAACTACTTATCCATAAAGTCTACAGAGGAACATATAAATGTTAATAGTTTTTTAATTACATAAACATTAATTTTCTCTAAAACATACGTACATATGAACACACCTTACACGCACGCACATGTGAGGACACCCAATATATTTACCTGGGCGGGAAAGCAGGTTTTGATAATCCTTTTCCTCTGAGTAGTGATAGTTCATTGCAATTGCATGAACATAGAAGAAGAAACTTAGAGGAGGAGGACATACTGGACGACACGTTTGGTTGTAGATTATGATAAATTTCTGGAATTTCGCGTACAGACCTGTGTTCTCTTGTATTTTCGTGTAAGTGTTGCTTGAAACAAAAACATGAGAGATTGAAAATTAATATGCAATGCAAAACAGTGTGAAGCAGACTGTAAATTACTTACTAAAGCTGCAGCTGAAGGTAACAAACTATTTTTTTTAAAGGAGGGGGATATTGAAACCCCTATTGAAATAACGTTCAAAATTGAAATATTATTTCAATCGTGAAAACTATTATTGCAATAGTGGTCGCAGATTCGAATGAAATACGGCTACAATTGAAATAACGTCAACTCTATTGAAGTAATATTTCAATCGTCAACACGGCATGCGATATCGCCGTTTTGGTTCGACAACTGTTGAAATAATTTCAAATACACCCGAGGTTGTTATAGTAGCCTACAACTGTTCAGTTTTATTGCAAAATCCTGAGTATATTCTTGCCATTTTTTTTAAAATAGGTATGACCAGGCCGGGAATCGAACCGGCACGAATCAGAGAACGGTAACCTGGGTTTTCTTATTGATTGTTGTTGTAATATTGCTGAACGTCACACCAGCAATTTTTCAGCTATTCGCTCTCTATGGGTTGCTCCAGTGAACTGGGACTCAAGAAGTCTGCAGGATTTTCACACCAGTACAAGCGGTCCATAAGCACTCATTATACACAACACATATTATGCACCCATGATTCCGTCCGCAAATGACAATAACTTGCGTGGAATTTAAACCCGTTACCTCCAACTCTATCAGGTCACAATGGTACACTCCATTACAACCTCGGGTGTATTTGAATGAAAATTATTTCAACAGTGGTTGAACCAATACAGCGATATCGCATGCAGAGTTCACTATTGAAATAATATTTCAATACAGCTGACGTTATTACCATAGTAGCCATGATTTAATTGAATCTGCGACCACCATTGAAGTAATTTTTTCACCATCGAAATAATATTTCAATAGTGAACATTATTTCATTAGGGGCATCAACAGGGGGGTGGGGGTATTGGTTTGCATTTGACCCGATTATGTGTAAGGATTTTCGTACAAAGATACAGACAAGCATTGGATATTATAAAAAGTAGAAAAGGGTAACTAACCTGAATATAGCAATCAGAAGATTGATCAGCAAAATATTTGCAATTATCATGTATAAGCTCATGATTATTGGAACGGAATATCTTCCGACTTCTGATGGACAGATGGGACGAGTATCGGTCTCATTCGTCTGGGGGCCTGAACGACATTCGGGCTCTGTCACTGCAATAAACATCAAGCAAATACTTACACACCAACATAATCATAATTCAAACTTAAATTTCATAATTCTAGTGAAAATAATAACAAAAGAAAGGTTAATATGGAGACTCCTGAAAAAGTACAAGGATGATAAGACCAGGTGTTCCAGAAGAGTAAGCATCTTCCGTTTCATGCTTCATCGACGACACTGGTCTTGGAGGAGGTGTTATTATTTATTGTAAAAATTCAGTTTTTTTTCTAAAAGATGTACTGAGATAAGTATGAAGATATTGAAATGATTTGGATTGAAGTTAAAATTGATCATCGAAACTTTTTATTGGGTTGTTTATATAGAACAGAGTCATCAGTTACTAGCTGATCTAAACTGGATGATATGCTTGAAACTGATTGAGACTAATATGGATGTTATGATTACTTGCGACATAAATGTTAATATGCTGTGATCAAAATTCTCATCTGAATCATCTATTAATGAAGTATAGTCTGATAGATTTCATTAATGAGCCTACACGTGTAACTCATACTTCTTCCACCTTATTAGATATTGTCCTCACAAATAATGTTAATATAGTGCGAAATGCTTCAGTAAGTCCACCTATTTGTAGTGATCATTCATTGATATTATTTGAAATTCAGTACTCAAGATTGAAACGTAATGCTTACAATATAGAAAATTATATCTTTGATAGAACTGATTTTGATAGCATGAACAATGAATTGGCAATATTAGACTGGGATAAAATATCTAATACTATGACTGCTGAAGAGCTTAATCAATTTCTTATTAACTATATAAATTATCTTATCCATTAGGTTATCCCTGATAGAGTCTGGCATGAAGGTCTATTGTACAAGCTTGAATCTTATGGAACTAAAGGTAATATTTTATTTATCTTTTAGAAAACCACCTGTGGTGATTGAAAGCTCGGTCTCAACCTTTACATCTGTTGATGAAGGAGTACCCTAGGGTCAGTTCAAGGACCTTTTCTCTTTTTACTGTACGTAAATGATATCACTGACTGTGTTAATAGCTCTATTCAGTCGTTTGCTGATGATACCCGTCGGTTTTAAGTTGTCAATGATGATCCAGTTGAAGTAGCTGAGTCTCTTGAAAATGATTTATATTTGTAAAATATTGAGCTAAACAATGGGATATTCAGTTTAATCCATCTAAAACAGAATTAGCAATATTCACAAGGAATACCACACCAAACCATTTAGATAATTATTTCAACAATCAACTAGTCACAACCTCTTCCGATACAAGCATCTTGGTTTAGTATTCAGTAGTGATAGCAAATGGAATAAGCACATAGATTTTATGAATAAAAAGGCAAATAAAAAAATGAATATTCTGAGACTTCCAAAATTGTATATTAGACAGAAAGTCCCTTTCAATACTATAAATCCCATATTAGACCAATTTTAGAGTATGCAGATGTCGCATTGGATAACTGTTCAGTCTATACTAAAACTGTAAAGAACCTGTAAATCTTGAGACTGCAAGGTTAATAATTTGGTTACGCAGAGGTACAGAAAAACATCAAAATCTTCGAAATAACAGAATCTTTAATGAACCTTTTATGTCGAACTGTCAGCTATATGGATAGTTCTTAGATATATTAACCCTTGATAAAGTTTATAAGAAACCCTAGACAACTATAATCATAGCCAATATGAATTAAACTATGTTATGCATTGCTGCCCAATCTGTACCATCCACATCAATAAATCATTGTTTGATGCTGAATTTAAGTATATTGATGATACAGAAAGGCTTTACTGTCTAATGTTTAATACCTACTCACATGAATTGAAATTATAGAGCACATCTAAAACTAAGACAAAATATAACTTGACAAAATTGATATCCTTCCATTAGTATAGTTAATAAAACTTTTATCAATCATGTGATAAATGCTGGCTAATAGTTATTTACTTTTCTCATTATTATTTATTCCAAATATTTTAGTTGTCATCTTATAATAAGGAAACAACTCTGAACAGTTTTTTTTATGTTGGTCTGAATATCCTTTTTATTTAGAATAACAATCCTTTGATGTAAGAAAAATGTGCTTTATGTGTACTTGCTCCCTCACTGAAGTGGTAGAGGGCCGACTTTTATATCATTAACAATCTGGCCCAAACACCTTTTTATATGGGAAAGAAATTACATGTAATGCATTTTTAATATTATTGATATCCAAAGACATAATAAACTGAAAAGCTGGTGGATTGTTAATTATCTTCTTATAATCATATCAAAGTATACAAAAATAACCGAGTTGTCTCCCATAATCTGTCTGTCAACACTAAATTCATGATTGTATGTATGTAATGTAATGTATGTATGTTTATGGTGTACTGTGTATTATGTTTATATCTGTCCACCATGCTGGCTTTGGAGAAGACCTATATAGGCTCTATCCTGCTGTCTAATCATCTCGATTATTTTTATAAAAAAAATATTATTCTGAAATGAAATCGACGACACCCACCAAATTTGATTATCTTCCATATGTTCAAATCTCTAGTGGCTCACTCACCTACGCTGAACAACCCATATTCCTAGTACAACACATTTGTTTTTGTGAATGACTTTCGGAATACGGTGAAGTAATGAGGCAACACCTTTTGATGTAATAGAAATGTAAGAATACTGCCGCTAGGTTTATTTTCCTCTTGATAAACATTAGTATTTTACATATCCAGTAATTTCAAACTATGCAAGTCACATGTCATGAAGTATCTTATCTTATCAATATCTAACATACCTATTTAAGTTAAATCTACACCTCATGATCTCATTTTCTTCACGAAACTGCGTAAAGTATAAAAACAAAACCCGGAAAATAAAAGAATAAATTAAAAGCTATTCAGATATCTCCCATTTAATGTCATACAGATTTCAACATATTTCATGATAATAACAATTCATGTATATATCTAATATTTCTGTTATTATTATGATAATTCATATATATCTAATAGTTATTTCATTATCTTCACAATCCCTATATATTTAATATTTAACTACGAACTCATTAACTTTTCTTTGTTTTTTCATTGAAAACAGACTAGAAAAAAACCCGATTAATATGTTTCTAGGATATTGCCTTGTCTTAGAAGGATGGAACAGATTTAAGGTGGGTGATTACCAAAATGTCAACAAATTCAAAATCAAAACTAACAAAATTGTTAAAACAAGAAACAAAAAAGAAAACACACAGAGAATTACGGAAAATACAAGGGAAAGAAGGCAGGGTATCACGTAAAATGATACTAAGACTAAGTGTTTCGGAATAGTAAGCGTCGTCTGCTTGCTCTTTACTGCGTAAATCACTATCAAAGTGCGTAAGGACACGTTTTCAAATGTTCAGCTGAAATAATTCATTGTTAATTTCTAAGTGTAAAAGTTTGTCTTACTTTCTATCTCGTCCAGAAAAAGTTCCCCGTAAAGGTTCCAGTATGGAATACGAAACAGTTGAACGAGAAAGTCCCCATCAAAATTGGAGACTGGGTATAGGATTGATTGGGCAGCGATGGCATAAGACACTATAAACACCAGTAAGATCATCATGAAGGATATTAGGTCTCCAGTCTGTAGATAAGAAAGGTTAAACATAGAAAGAAAACTGAAATGAAATAAAGAAGAAGTCACAATTATATACATATGTATTGGACTATAATTACCAAATAAGTTTAATGTATTAAAGTAATTGATTTTTTTTGTCTTTATTTTTCATTCTATTATTGGAAGTAGGCACATCACTTGCAGAGTTCTTAAACCATTTATCGTGTGATAGGAACTTTACATTGCTCTTGTGTTGGTGAAACGTTATGTTCATTGTCATCGAAGCAGTGGCAGCTATTTATGATTAAACGATTCTTACCATTTCTTCTATCATGGCTACTTTAGGACCAATAGATTCAGATATGGAGAACCAATATAGTAGCTGAATACAGAAAATGATGAACACCACTGCTAAAAATAACCGCCCAACTTCCATACTTGCGTGATGTCCATCACTATGACGTAGCATCATACCAATGATGTAAAATAGTGTTTTCGGAATTTCAATGTAACCGAGGCGAACACCGTATGAAGGCAAAATCTGAAAAACAAGAAAACTAAATGTGGCATTAACTTTATGTGTATTTCACTGTCAACGTTAACTTCTGACAAATACTCAATGATGGATACAGACACTAACGCATATCATTGGACAACTTATATACTAAACATGTTGTGTTTTGGGTTATTAATAATCATGAAATGTGTAGTTGCTGCAATTAGGATAGTCACAGTTTGCAAATTTGTACATTAGTAACTGCAATATTTATTTGTGCCACAGTATTGTCCTCACTTTCGTAGGAAACAACGAAAATGGCCGGGTTGCTCATAAATACATATTGGCTACTGTTTTCTTCTGTATAAGAATATTTACGCATTTTTGCAGGCTTGCATGTCCTTGTCTATTTCTTATCATGATTTCATACTTTTTCACCTTTTTTGTATTATTTGATCGCTTTCTAATTGGTTGCACATTATTGCAAAGCCCATACAAGCATGTGCGATTTTTTTCACAGAAATTTATTAAAGAAAGACACATTCAACGATCTTTACCAGCTAATACAAATGGGGAATTCAAAAAAATCTAAAGTAATCGGGATATTTCTTCATATTTCTTACAACATTTCTAAATGTCAAAGAAGGGTTATGAATAAGACAACTAGGGCAAAATATTATCCAAATTAAATAACACATTCAAAATAAGAATAGGACCTTGTCTTACGGTAGAGTAAACGTTCTCTCTCTGCGTTACCGGTGGTATCTGTCATGTAAATATTGGCCTATTCAAGTAAGTGATATCATGTTCTCAAATGGAAACATGGTATACAACAAAAGAACCGAAAGAGCATTAAAATATGTCCCGCTTAATATCACAATCTTTCGAAGAAATACGAAGTGGAACGTTTGACCAATGCTGAACATCCTCGCCTGTAAAAACATATCTTCTATGATTTGAAATTATTTCTACCACTTTGTACAGAACTACGCCCTAACTAACACTAAACGGTTATAAACGTTATTATCTTTGAGTAAAACTGAGTGGCAGTACCTGTGTACAGTGGAGAATTAATCGAGAAGATATTACGTAAAAACTGAAATGAATGTTATATACAATGTGGTCAGATGTGTAAAAATTACAAGATACCTATTTCACACTATCTTTGGTAAGATCCTCTATCAGACTGGTTGAAAGTACATGTGTCCCCTTCTAGACAGGGAATTTCACATTTAGATATTACAATGATGTTTTACCGTTATATACCAGGACATTAGTGACCATGCCCATAGTATATACACAGCAGAATTACCGCTACCTCGAGACAGTTAATATTTTCCTTTTTAAGAAAATCCCATTTGTGAACAGTAATTACCATACTTTGACAAATGACAGTATGCATAAGGGTTTGGACCCCCTCACTTTAGATTTTGACATGTTATTCTATCAACTTTAATTTGTCTCAGTAGCCTTCTTGGTTTTCAAATTTAGGCCCTTGACATTACAGAGGAGTACCGAGAAGGACAAAATAGCAGTATGGTATTCATTACCTTGCTGTACTTTATCAAACTCAAAACGAGGAGGGGTATTGATGTCCTATGATCTCATTGGAAAAATATCCTATGCCATTTGGTTTTATGATGTTCGACGCTTTCAATGCTTTTCAATATGCATGGTCGTTTCGTTGTTACGACCATGGTTCTAGTTACATTTATTTATGGATTTTTTTTTCAGATTTTTTTTATATTTACCTATTTCTCGTGGTAACTGAGATAATGAATAACAATCAACATGTACATATCCCGTTGTGCGATATTATTCACACATGTACATATGTGTGACATCTATGTCAATATTATTTTACCTCCAACAACTGAATTGAATTCTCTCCTATCATTTCAATCATCCATGCTACTAGCAGCCACTCCACAAATGAGCCTGCAACATGGTCATAGCTGAACAGAAGTGAGTAGCCGAGCAATATCAGGAATACCATTTGTGATACCTACAAAAAAAACAAGAAGCCCATTGGCATGGATCGTTCACCCAGTTTCGATTTCGATTAGTGTGAAGGAGAATATTTCCTCCCCTGGGTCACATCAGATTCTTCACACCAAATTAGATTAAAAAAATCATCAGAACAGAAGAATGAATAACCGCATTAGTCAAAGGTCTAACTCATGGTTAATACTCAACGGAGTCTCCTTCATCTAAATATGGCATTGACCAAATTTAAAGATTTAAAAGATTTTTCACTGTATCTCTATTTCCGTCTGGGGGTGAACAAACCCAGCCATCATATCTACAAAACTTATTTCCTCTACTTAGCCAAGTCCCTCTTTTCTAAGGGGGACTTGGGGTGTATAGACCCGACCTTCATACAAAATTGGGTCTCCTCATGCAAAGATGCTTCAGACAATGTTTCGAAAAAATCCCTGTCGGTAGAAAAATCGCTTCCAAGAAAACGCTCAATTTCTTTTGCTCAGTCATGACCTTAATAATTCAGGGAGCGCAGGCTCATTGTTTATACAACATTCGTTTGCAATCCCTCAAAGATGGTTCTAACTAATATTGGTCTACATTAGCTCGATATTTTGTGAAAAATAACGATTTATATGCAACTCAACGGACCTTTATGCAAGTGTTCACGAGTTTATGGAGGTTAGATTAACCAGTGTGCTACAGACCCATTGTACCGGATGGTATGACGCAGTTATGTTCATTATAACAAACTGTATCTACTACATAATTTTTCGAAGCTGAAAGTACTCATTATATGAATATGACGTTATCGCGAGTTGCTATGACACCCGGGTACTGGAGAGCAGATCGGTTATCTTATCAAGAGCATTTTGATTTAAACAAGTGTTGTTTGATGGGGAATAGAAACTAAGACTTTCTTTGTGTTACCAGTGAATGAAAGCTATAGGCTGAGATCCCAGATATGTTAGTTATGGCATAGTGCTATATAGTGTATATACATAAATATTGTGTAAAGTATGCCGTTGGGTTTGGGAAAAGTGTGAGAGTGTGGAGTATGTTTAAACTTAATGTATGAAAATAAATGTATATATTTGTGTTCATAATTATGGTAGTTGTAGGCGATAGCAATCGGTTACGTTATCAAATACGTATTTACATATAAACGATAATTAGAAAGTTTTAGATATATGGTCAGAATAAAAAGATAAAATAAAACAAAATTAATATCATAATCTTTTCGGATAGGAATATCTATGTCAATACATAATTCTACTTTATCAGAACAAAAAAAAATATCCCGAAATGCTGCTTTAATATGCATGGTTTCCATTAAGAAGAATGTTGGTTTTCATACTCACGAAAGCAACGAAGAATTTCCGACGTGGTATTTCAAACCATTTCAGTTTAGACCTACCAAGAATTTGCGAAACATTATTTCCAAACAAGAATGAATATATCACATGTTATGTACGTAATCAATTATTGGCCTTTATTACTTATACACTCACTATCTTATACTCATAAAGTTACATTTCGACAGCAAACACTTTGATGTTCAACTACCACAGTATATAAAGGAATTCGTAAACCGTGCAATAGAAAACGGCTTGATAGGCAGACATGTGATTATTAAATGTTAGGTTGATTGTTCATGCTGTCATTATACTTACCTACTTTGTGTATCATTTTCGCCTGTCACCTTGTTTTTCTAGAATTAAGAATGAAAGGGAAATTGTAATAAAACGCCCAATGAAGTGACGTGTATTATTTATAAAGAAAGCATATCTATTTTAATAAAATAATAGTATATGTATATTGCTATGATAACAATGTCATGGTCTTTTTTTATTATATTGCCAGGCGTGTTTTGGTGTGGCCATTCAAGTAGAGTTGAAGGGAACCAGAAACGACAGATAGTACAGGATGTAAAATAATCAACATTATTTAATGAAGTATAGATTCTTACAATATACGTCCCAATTCAACACACAGCTTGTATCACTGGTCACCTTCATTTGAAACAAAATATCTTTTGCCAGCAATTGAAGGTTGTTCATCAGTTAAGGCGCATGATAATATGCATAGTGAAAATAGTATTTCCTAATGCGGAAATGCTTTCTAGAAAACGTCATTCAAGTTTGGTCAAAAGGTTTTTGCATTCCCTAAAAATCACGTATCATTTATTCCACTTTAAGGGTAAACATCCCAATAACAGCGTAAGCATAATTTTATAATGTTAAGAATGAACTCATGGTAGTTTGTTTATCAAAGTTGAGTCAGCATTAAGCCTATGTTTTTATTGATTTCTGTAAATTTTGAAACTTAAGTTTATCCAGGAACGTCTATATCCTTAACTTGTAATCTGAATTATTGAAATAATAAGGCATAATTCGCAAGAATCAAATTTAAACAAGATTGGACAATGCATATATTGAAGATAAACCGCTTATTTTTAAACAGGTTCAAAGACCTCATCCAAATTCTTTGTTCCCCTTTCAGAAACAAGAACACCATTCACTATATCGAATAAACCTTTAAAAAGAAAGAAAAAATATTTAAACAAATTTGTAAATATTCTAATTACACTATTGTAAACCATGTCTTAGTGTACAATGTATATGTCGCAGTTGCTTTATCCATTGTTTTAGACCATTTACGATAAAACGATTTTCAATGACCTATTAGATGTCAATGTTTGAAATGAACCCGAGAAATCATTATAATCCAGTTAAAAGTATTTTTTCTGCAATTAGTTGTATTATATGAAATGCAGTAGAGGGACCCGCTTTTACATAATTAAAACTACTTTCGCCTTGAGTTCAGTTTTTGATACATTTAAGGATTGTTTCTTATTTTCTGTAGCTGCATCGAATTGTATTTACATTGGGGTAAGTACATATTTAACTTGGTGCGCGTTAGTAAATACAATTCGGTGCAGCTACAGAAAATACGAAACAATCCTTATATTTACACTTGGTCACTTTGAAATTTAAAAAAAAAACTTTTAAAAAATCACCTTATACACATTGTTCGTACAGCCGCCCGCTTTATAGAACAGCCAAGTAAATCCAAAAACACTAGGTGGCGCTGCCGTTGACAAGTACAGTAAACAAAATAGGTCTCAAAGATAAGAGTAAAATCAACATGTTTTATAACATTTAGTTAAATATTTAGACATCTTTTAGTTTTTAGAATCAATAGTTCATTATTTACACAATATTCCTATATCATAGTACACAAAATCACTATTCAACACCACGCAGGTATATATCTATAAATACGTGATGAGGCCACCCGATCAGCTGATCGAAAGAGCGGGGAAACGATGAACATGACACGCCATTTTCTCCACGTTGATAATGCTAGTGCGTGTTGTTGAATGTGAACATAGCGCCAGCCTCAGTCATGGTGTCGGTGTGTTGCAGACGACAAAATTCCTATCTCGCGCTCTTAATTCTAACAAGATCGATTTAGGTTTACTGACTAATTTTATTTTTTATTAATGCCATATATTTTAAAGTTATTTTTGTAAGGATTGACATTTTTCTTTACTTTTCCGAACGACATAAACTATAATCTCGTTTTGTAGCGTTCCCAACTTGGACAAGTAGTTCTTACATTTTATTTGATATCTATGCGCAAGCCTAATCACCGTATGTAAATATCGAAAATTATTAACATTGGGTTGGGCTTACTTCATCTAGAGATAATGCAACGCAAGTGTAAATATTTGCATACATAAGCTTTTTGATTGCATTAGTTTATCAAAAGTTCGTTTATACATACCGATTTGCATAAAGATTTGCATACAGATCCGCTCTGGGAAGACAATTTCCCCTGCCACATCGAATCCATCAATGACAGGAATGCGGCACTTGAAACAATTGTTTTATTATTCGTCTTTAAAGCAATTTCCATGCATGTGGTCTCTTCCCATCCCTTTATATTTTGTGTCAACAGATCGATGCATTTCTTGTCATTTCGCCTTTTACATTCATTCAGGATATGCTGAGCAAGTCGACAGAATTCACTACAAAATTAACAATAATAGTAACATTTTAAAGTCTCCTGGTTTTACTCAAAAGGCATGCTATAACATAATCTGATGTTACCAAACCTATTTTTTTGTTTTATTTTTGTTTTTTTTTGTTTTTTGTTTGTTTTTGTTTTTTGTTTTTTGTTGTTTTGTTTTGTTTGTTCTACTTTTTCCTGAATGAACCACGTTTAAACAAAAATTAAAAAAAAAAAAAAAAAAAAACCAAGAAATAAAAAAACAAAACAAACCAAAAAACCCATTTGATTACATTCATCATTATTGTGATGAAAACTGATCATGTGTTTTTGTATATAATATGTGCATAAATATCCTTTACAGAATGATGAACATACACCAGCTTAATTCCGTTCTCGATAAATGGGTAAGCTACAGTCTTTAAAACTGACCTGATGTTATGTGTAGGAAAATTCTCAATTGTAACTAATACGGCAAATGAATTGATATGATGAGCATATCAAAAGATTGTCATATTAGAACTGTAACATTGAAGTAGACAAGACATTATCAGAAAAATAGACGTTATAGTCAGCAGCTTTCCTCCTCCCTGGCGCCATCTTTAATAGATAAATGTAATGATCAAAATCACTTAAAACCCTTTCTTTTAGGATGTCACGTTTTATACTCTTCAATTTTCTCAATACCCTTAAGTGTTGGACAAGCTATTGAGTTTCCTTTTAACGATTTTTGGCGAGAAAGTGTGACTTAATTATTTGCATGTTAATGGCTGTGTGAAAGGGAAATGTGACCAGTCACTGATAGTAATATGTCCATAGTTTAAGTGTCTGGCAGTAGATTATTGTTAGAGATCAATTGTTTTTCTCCGGAAGTTTTTAATTTATGGGATGGTAATCTAAGTGGCTTCAAATATATAACCAGACCCCAGAACAAATCTTCATTTATAATGGTGTTTATTTCCTGATGCGCAGCAATATTTATTCAATGGGAATCACAACTGTTTCAAAGAATCAAAGATCCAAATGAATTGTTGACTGCGCAAAGTGGACAATATCCTGCAATTCCTGAAGAACAAGATAGATTTTAAGGAAATTGATAGATTTTCTCTATTGGGCCCCACCTCTTTCGCCATAGGGGCAGAGACCCACCGTTTATAACAAAAATCGATTTCCCTTCACCCAAGTATGCTTCAGACCAATTTTGGACAACAGCCTTCAATTCCTGAAGAACAGACAGATTTTAGATAATTGACACATATTCCCTATTGGGCCCCACCCGTCTGGCCAAGGGGACAAGACACATCGTGTATTCTAAACTGGTTTCCCTTCACCCAAGCATGCTTCAGATCTATTTTGGACAATGTCCTGCAACTCCTGAAGAGCAAGATAGATTATAAAGAAATTGTTGGATTTTCCCTATTGGGCCCAACGTTACGCCCAAGGAGACGACACCCATCATTTATACAAGATTTGTTCTCTTCTTTCCTCAAGGATGATTCAAATCAAATTTGACTTAAATCTGCTCTGTCGTTCATGAATAGTTGAAATATATAGTGAAAGTTGACAGATGACGGACATCGCGGTATCTCTATAGCGCATTTGGCCCTTCGAGCCAGATGAGCTTAAAGGCTCTCGAAGCGTGAGGACGCCTCAAGATGTTTTGTTTCGCTGCTAAAATTATTCAACATCTACTAACTTACTCTGAATTTTGTTTGAACATATTCTTCTCCTCTTCATCTTTAGTTAGTTTAGACATCGCCTTCAACACTCCATATGCAACCAGTGCCCAAGCGACGTGGTCCTAAAAATATTGCACCAAACAAACCGACTAAAAATAATATTGAATATCAATCGATTGACAAGATCAGATTTAACGCGATTACCAGTTGCTGGAAATCAGCAAAGTGAAGGAAATATTGACGAGATTGATCAAGTACAGAGCATACATTAAAAACATAGTTAAAACAATTTGTTTCAACACATAGCGTTTTCTTATTCAAGTGTTTATGTTATTCGGAGACCTTTTAATAATTGCACTTTTGACGATTATATTAAACTAAATGAGCTAAGTAATATATCTTCTATTATTTAAATATCCTTTAATTAACATCATTTCCTAAGAAGGATCGCGAGTTTTTAATCGTTCTGTGTCCACAGAAAGGAAAGGGGTGGGGAGAAAATCAAGTTTCACAAGTTCATAACTATGTATATGTCTATCATTCGCATTGATGCATGGCATACACATCTATAGAGCTGTTGAAATTACGCTGAAATGCTCGGGAATGTTCTGGCATGTGTCTAACGATGAACGATGTTATATTTTCACTGTAGTCTGATGAGTTTTGCTTCTGTTGCAGACGTAGCGTCATTTAATCCCAAACATGCCCGATTTGAGAAAAATCTGGTGACATTTCCAGCCAAGATAGCACGATGACATCCCGCTGCTGTGGACACATAGCACATACAGTATGAGGTCGGTAGTTGTCCTGCTGTGTTGGATATCATGAATACAATGAGGATCGCGATTGCGTATAAATTCGTCAGAGCAGTACACACTTGTCAAGTTGCCCTCCAGTATAAAAAAGAAATGGTTCCTTCCTACATTGTGCCATTACCTCTGGCCGTGACAGTACCTCTACCACATCGACGACGCTGAATTACATAAACGTCACTGCAACGTTTTAGTGGCCGACGGTTCACTCGAACACCACTGTCACTGAAACGGGAAATCTGGACTAGTCCTTGTTGATAAATATCAGATGACGCTAGTGCAATGCTAACTACGCAACACTGAAACGTCAAATTCAAACTGGACGGAAAGCTGGACATCGCAGAAGGAAAACAGGCTACACGCAGTATTTTCGTTCGGTTCTGCAACAAGTTCGTGTTCGTCCTGGAATTCTTCGAATGTTCAGTGACGAGGGCAAGACCCGATTGTATGTATCTTGCAGGAGTCCTCTTCTTTACGGGTCCCGTACCACGTTTGTATGTTAAAAGTGCCTCCAGAAGACAACTATCGTTATAATGTACATCCCATACTGTTTCTCAACATTGTTCTGAGTCATTCTCGTCTTTACCGTGCCAATTACACGCAAATACTCATTTTGCCCTATACGTGACATGTTCCTGGCAAAAGATGTCTTTTCTCATTCCGTTAGTAGAATACAACTCATAAAAGCAATAACCTCTGGCTTTCGCGTCTTTAGTAAGCGTTTTCTATGTATGCAATTAAATAAAAAAAAAGGAAAAACATGCACTGACAATCGAAGGGTAACGAAAGTAATTTTTAAAAGTTGTTTTCTCAAACATGAATTTCAAAACATGGTTTTTAAAAAGATCGACGAGAATAAAATTCTGCTTTTCGCATATCTACTGTGTTTTATCCGTCAATATATATTCTATTCGCATGTTTCTGAAACTGCAAGACATGAAATACCCGAAATCGGCGCAGGACACATTTTTGTCTTCTTTTTACTCACAAATATTAACTTTCATCCCCAGCACGTAGTGAGCAGTAGTGGAATGGAATGTGTGTTATCGTTGAAAGAAGGATTTTGTGTTGTTAAACCCTCATCTAAATTTCATAGATATTCTGTTTGAATACATGGAGATGTACGCAGTCATTATTATACAAAAATGAAATTTCATTCACTTTTGTTTAAGAATGGCCAAAACCCAAATACATTACACTCACCATGTTGTTTTAAACAGAGCTACATTGCATATATATAAATAGGTTTATCACTGACTGGTCGCTTAATTGTCAAAATTAGAAAACCTTAATGAAAAAAGAAATTACAAGAAAAGTCATTATATATGTTTTACCTTCCCAAATTTCCACAATAGCTTCGCCATTTGTTGTTTTTTAGTGAGAACACACCATAAAAAGAAATGTCGCTTTTTAATTTCAGAAGAGGGACTTGATCCGACGGCATACGTGATAAAATCCTCGACTTTCTCTTGCCAGTCCTGTTGCAGTTTAATAAGATATTTGAAACAAAGAGCTGTATTAATGATATATATATAACTACACACATCCTTTCGCATAAATGAAGTAAATTAAATTTACATTGTGGCATATTTGAATACCAATCAATAATCTGCCAAAATCTGAAATACTTTTCATATTCATATGCACAGATAATCTCACGGTAAAAAGAATATTGTCTTTAATGTGTTCGTTGCACATATCTGTTCAATAGACTCACAATTTGTTAAAAAAAACAATAAGATAAGATGATGCATAAATATGAGAGAAACTGGTCCCTTGAGAGATAATCGATACTTACAACTTCGCTAATAATCTCTTCCTTTCTTGGTAAACTACACAGCCATGCTACAACACCCTGTTGGGAAGATGCAAGACATTTAAAAGCAAATTGAATCGTCTTCATTTCCGTCTCAAACTACTAGCTGTAGTGTTTCTGAGAAAAAAAATTCCAGCAGTTTCCAACACTTAGTTATCATTTCAACTGATTATTAATGATTTTAAAAGAAATTGTCCATAATATTCAAACATGCCATGTTGCTTTAGCGATTGACCCAGTCAGGTTAGTTTTTAGAATCACATTTGTACACATTATATTTCATTTGAAGTCTACTAAATCATTATTTATAACGTGTTAGTGTGCAAACGTATCAAGAACAGATAACATAAATATCCAATGCCAGACATATTTAACTGATGGAAAGATCACACGTGCGATTTAATCACATAATTTGCATATGGTAGAGAACGAAATTGTAATAAAGTCACTACAAGTTATAGAAACCATAAACTTTTACACAAGTTTTGTATTCTGCCGTTAGCTTGCCTTCAGACTTTGGAGTTTTAATGTTGATCTCGCCATTATCCTCAAGACACTTTTGTCAGTTTCCTGTCGGAGAGATTGCAGATATCAACAGTAGATTTAATAACAACGTTGTTCGTTAATTGTTTTCATATCATTTTCGCTCATTTGATAGATTTAATCATTTCTCTTTAAAAAATCCATCCTAGTACTACTTTTGCTGTGTAGTTTTGTGCATATACAGAGTTAGATATAGAATATCAACCAGCATTAAAAGATTCATATAGAAAAATCAGCATGGAAAAATATCAAAATCAAACTGCACAAATTGCCAGTTGCATTTAGTTTTGTGATGAAATTGACGTAACAACTAAACATAACAAGTTAATCTCATTACGTTCCTGTATTATGTTTGTCGTCACTTCTTTTATTGTGAAATTGATGAAATTGTATTTTAAATATTATCCCTATAATAATATACGATTTTTGTTTTAATCGTAACAAAATACTATTAAACAAATACATCACAAGGGGAAGAAACCGTGAAAAGCATATAGATAGGTATAAATATATGAATATATAGGCAAATAGATGCACAAGACCTTAGTGTAAAAATCATGATATGGATGTTCTTGGTTTTTCTCAATCCATTCCATCAAGAGAGTTTCGACATCAATCTCATGTTCAAGGAAGACCTCGATGCATTCAGCTCTATCTTGCATAATAGCCGTCTTTATAATGTTACTGACGTAGAGACCTTTCTTTAGTGTTTCTACCTGTGAGGAAAACAATCTCAAGTAAGTTTCATTTTCATTTCTTTAAGTATAATATGGATATAATATATATATATTAAAAAGAATAAAATCAACACGGCAAATGTATTCCGCTAACGTTTTCAGGCCTTACGGCCATCTTCAAACGATACATTTATTATAACGTCTTTGTATCGACATTGTGACGTCATACATAATACATAAGAGAAGGGGAAATAGAGTTATCGTTCGCAGTATATTGAAATTACATTTATGTGCGTTTGTTATTAATAAAATATGTGTAGAAGATTTTTTCAAAACATTAACTAGCATTGAGAGCTGGTTTAAATATTTTGACAAACATTTCCTCTTTACACAGTCTTTTTGCCGCATCCCAATCGGCCACTTGGTAAAAAGAAAAAAATAAACAAGTTCCTTTTCCACATATATCCAGGTGTTCACTAAGTGGTATTTTACGTGTCTCTGGTGTGCGTATTTGCTGCTTGTGGACCCGAACTCTCTCACTAAGTGCATTTCCTGTTTGGCCGATGTAGTGTTCCAGGTACTCGCATGTTCCACATCTAGAGTCTCCACATTTGGTTACAGAACACGTTTGTGTTTCAGAATTGTAATATGATATATAAAGAGATTAATCTGGTTGTTTTTTGTCCGAAATCTGATGGTTTCAATGCCGAGATCATGAGGTATGTTCGTATAAAGACTTATAACGTCAAAACTTACGCGTATTGCATCCTCAGTTATCTCAGTAGGCAATTGTGCGAGGAAGTCCATATCATCCCGTAAGCAGCTCGATATTTACTGGCAAAGAGGTTTTCGTATGATACCCAGAAAATTGCTAAGACGGTGTGTTGGCCATGTTGGTCCCGCCACAATAGGTCTTAGCCTCTTGGATGATTGCGCTCTTGTGACAAGCAATGGTTACATATTATGCAAATTTCATGTGATCACCGTTCATTGACTAACGACCGATCGCGACATACCTGAGGAACCTGACAACTGATTTATGGAAATATTCCCTATGTACATGAAGGGAATAAATATAAGTGATAAATCGGTTTCATGTGAACAAACCAACAAGATAATTAACATATCCAAACTTGACGTTCGAGCAATTATTTAAATTTTCAAAATCAACCAACTAGCACTGGGCATGTCTGTGCTGCATTATGTCATGTTAATAGCTGACAAGCTATGTGTGTAATTGTAGAGAAGCCAAGAGTAAGTTGATCTTATAAAAACACCGTACCTGACTGACCCAGCCAACAATGCGGATCATTCCATCTGTGAATATTGCTACAATATGTAGCATAGTATAAAATAAGGGACCTATGATATGGATTTAAATGACCTTAGAAGATTTCTAAGAATTATGCTAATTATTGTACCTGCATACTCGGTGACATGGAGTAGCCCAAAAATGAATAGGTACACATACATACACGTGCGCGGTGATAGAAAACGGAGCAGTACAATCCTGCTTACATGCTATGTAAATTTATCACGCTAACAGTTTATTGGCTATCCAATCGTAAACAGACACTCCCACATTGGGAAAGCAAAACAATGAATAAACAGAAACATAGAGCAATTTAAAAATGTAACCGAATTTCGTACATGTACAAAGAAGTTAGATCTGTTTAGGGGTGATACTTCACATCTATAAGGAAAACTATTGTACAATGTTTTACAATGATGACAAAGAGTTATTTCTGTTTAAATCATGAATGCTGACCTCTGATTTATTCACCATTGTCAATTAATAACGATTTATGATGGGTAGTTATTACCAATGGATCCTTTCTCCTAATTTCCATTTTAGAATGATATCTTTTACACATCCGCGTTAAATATTTTATATTTAACCACTTTTTACATTGAAGATTTCCAGTCTTAAACCTAAAACTATTCTCAATGAACACTTACATGTACACAAAATGACTCAATAAAAGAAATTTGTAATGCACAGTGACATCTGGTAGTCACAGGAGTGTCTACATATAATTATGGAATGGAAATGCGGTTTCTTTTAATTTTGACATTGCTAAGAGGTTTGCAGTGGCTCAAGCTATACCAGACTTTCATGCGAAGCGACTCTTATTAGTATTCTTATATGAGCAAGTCTGGGACGACAATTTTTGAAAAATTCAACAAAAAGGTAAAACACCATGGTGTAAGATTTCACATCTAAAACGATGTTCCATCCTGACCGATAAAACAGAAGATACATTTGGAAAATATATTTCCTTTTCAAGTACTTTTTGTTGTCAAGCTATTACTTTCTATTTGCATATTGCCATGAAAATGTGTTTCTTGCCATGAAATAGGTTTTATGCTAAAAACAGGACACCAATGTTGCATTTTTTGAAAGATGGAGATGCATTTTCTCTAGATTGCAACTCAATAAATAACATCTAAAATATTTTCAAATAAAGTTTAAAGAATTTTATCTCTTGACAAGGATTTTATTCACCAGTTGCAATTATTGTGTCATGTCTTATATCCATTTCAGATCTCAGTCCATGTTTCATCCCAGACATTTTTGTCAAAAATAGATACACCTGTCATACACTAGAAAATCTGTAAAATGTGAACATAATGTCATGCAAAATTGCTGCACATTTTATTATCAAAGTATTAAAAATTGTGTTTGGTTTCCTGTGCGTCCAAAGAGCAACTAGCATTATAATACGCCACATATGTCTTTGTCATCAATTGTTTAATGTACAAACGTCTTTCTGTATATTTTGGGTTTTCCTGTGTTATATGAAGCTAAGAATTAAATATATCAGTCAAAAATGAAAATGTTCCAAAATGACATATATCTTTTATTTGACCATCCTCTAATATTATTTTTTCAAAAATACTTATGGCTTTAATAGAGAAATCGTCGTTGATGATTTCATTATTAAAAAAGAGGAGGTCTGTGTGCATTTTTATTTGCAATTTTCACCTTAATAGTCAGTTTTCCAAGATCAAGAAACCATTTAGAAATATTTATTGTTGGGTACCAAAAATCCACGAAAGCGGTCATCAAGTCGAAATTCATGAATTTGAAATTCTGTGATTCGTATTGATAATTCATGCAAACTTTAGTTGAGGTCTACCCAAATCTTTCAGAATTATACTCAAAAGAATTACCTTAGCAACCACAAAATGCTATTAACCGAAGTAATGTAATTCACGAACGACATTTCTTCATAACGTCATATTAATTTCTCGTTTTCAACTCATAAGTACAACAATAAATGATAAAATACATAAAACGACAAAATCCAAGATATTATGTAGAAATTCATTTTATATTAAATTATGTCTTACTTCCGGTAAAAACATCAAAGGAAAACATCCTTCAAACATGTTCAGAGGTTTTTCACTACATTCTCTATTATTAGGATACCAACCACTTCCGCGAGGAATACAGCAGCAAATGTCATTCTGAGTATATCTTTGGACACAATATTTTAGTTTCGAAATGTGCTAACGTTTTCAAAATGTTATAAATGTAAACTAATTTACATTTCTGAAAATGTAAATACATTTCATCGAACTTTTCAATCTTTATCTATTCACCTTGTCTCATAAAAAAATGTCCAAAAATGGATATGTGAACATCTATTTTTGCTTGTGACAAAGACTACTGCTACATTTTAAGCAACTGTTATATTATTCTGTGTCAATCTATATGTGTTAGCCTTCAAATAATGAGTTGTAAGATGTAACCAAAGAAACCACCTGGCATATTTGTCTGAAAAATATCGAACAAATCGAATGCTGTATCTCACCTGGAATGGTGATATATTTAAATAGGTATTCAACATAAAAATTACCCCATAGTCTTTACCAACAAGCATTATTAAAGTTACTAAAAATTATTTTCCTCAGCTCTTGTCACCTATCACTATCACCGAAGTCGATAAGTCGGAAGACAGTAATTAGAAAATCAATTCAACTGTTTAAAAACAATCCCAATTTAAAAGCATTTATTATCTATTTTGCACTATTTTGTTAAAGAATTACTTTATATACGTATCCGATGGGGCAGTCTTAAATATTCCATGAAACGTCATTTTCGTGATAGTAAAATATATCTTAGTCAGTTGCAATTTTGCAATATGTAATATGTTTTACTGAAAGTACAATTCATGTTCGTATTTTCAATTATTAGTTTTGAAAAAAATACCCACAATAGATTAGCAACAACAGCGTTTAAGAGAAAATTCATACTTACATCCATGTGGCGCATAATCTCACTTTTCACACTTTCAATTTTGTTCAAATTCAGTGCAAGTTGTAATTGACTCAAGGGCTTATCTTTCATGACTGAAACATACAATATCAATGATGCAGGCAAGGTTCATGGCACAGGTCTTATTTTGAATAAAACGAATATATATTTAGTTTAAAATATTATTGAGGTTTTTGTCATATCAAAATCAAGAAGACTGTTTTTTGTTCGCTCTCTCTCTCTCTCTCTCTCTCCCTCTCTCTCTCTCTCTTTATATTTCTATACACTTCCACTGCATTATATGAATGAATCCGATGTTCTAGGAACTGACAGGTGTCAGGTTAAAAAACACTGATTTTCCCCATTATGCACGTGCCAGGTGTACAGGATTTTGGCAAATTGTAACCGTCGGCGAAAAAGACATTAGGACAGAACAATACATCAAGCTATTCACTTTTAGGTCTGGCTAACCAGAGAGCATTTGCAAAAAGAGCATTAAAGATAGGTAAGGCCCTTAGCATCACTGACAAATCTTACAATCATCGTAAGTCTCCACTAAAACCAATTTTCATGATGAATTGAACTCTACACTGTATGCTCAAATTTAATCGTTATTTTGCTCTAAATGATTTAAAGAGACTATATGGTTCGATTTCGCTTTTTGTCACAAAATCATAATATTCTCTGGGTGAAATTGATAAAGATTATCAGCTTCAAACTAACGCTGGTCGCCACTCGCTGCTGGATCTAGCATCTGTCGCTGTTTTGATCGGAGAGAGTCGAGTTTATCACGTGATCTTTCGATGCCTTATTTTAACCCGCTGTTTTGTTTTGATTTCTTACTTTGTATAATTATGTTATAAGCCAAAACTTAATTTATCAGCCATGTTTGAATGCGTAATGTCTCAAATGACCTCTTGTTTCACACTATACGCGTGACAGAACTAAATGAATTTGAATTAATCTTAAGCTAAAATTGCATCCGAAAAGACATTATTTCACTCCCTCCAAACGATGATATGAATTATTGTTGGGTCGCTATTTCATTTTAATTTTTAACGTTGTTAATAAAATGGTAAAGCAGATAAATGTTATAATGATTTTTATTAGTTATAAAATGAATATCTAACCATTTAGTCCCTTAAATATTAACTTGGGATCAAAAGTGGAAATGGAATTTAGTTTTTCTAAAATCACGTGTAAGATTTTATTCTCGATAAATCTCTGGTTTAACTTTTTCCCTTTTTGAAAGACTTTTCCTGATTTCATCGACGTAAATATTGAATATAATAATCCTTCAGTATAGCTTTTTATGTAACATATAACGATGATAGTGTGGAGTTCGGCTAACATGACATGTTACCTGGAATCAGTGCTTTTAGTACGGCTGTGTCAATGACCTGTAACTTTTCCGGTGAGGCAGTTATATCAAACACCGTGATCAAATTTCCCTCCTTGAAACTCTTCTCAACGATGACGCATACATAATCGATTTCTTTATCGCTCCACGCTCCGATCTCAGCCTTAAAGTTCTGTATCTTTGACCGCACAGTCGTCTTCAAATCCAACCCAAGACTACAACAGAAAAGTTATGGAATTTGTATCTATGACTAATGATTTCTAATAATAAACTTTCATAGGTATAAATCTTTTATAGTCGTATTAAACATAGACAAGTTGTAAATAATTTCTTTCACTATTTACCATGGAAGCATTTTCCGTAACAGGTTAGGTACCCATACTTGTTTAAAATTACGTCAGACAACTCTGATTAGGCAGTATCGTTAACTTTATTTCATTTTATTTTTTGTTTTATTTTGTGTGTTTTTCCTTAGTGTCTTGACATTTATTTAAAACGTTTAACACTTTAAATACATCACAATATATATGTAGGCACTTTACCTGTCGTTTGTTGATTCCGTAGACTGGTGAACATATTTGTCCATTGCATGTTCATATACATTTCCTGAACCCTGCAAGAAAGAAAGTCATTGTGAAATTTCAAGACCGTTCCAAGTATAGTATATAAGATTTTTTTCCTAAAGGCATGTGTGTCGGTGAAAATATTTTTTTATTTTATAAACCATGAAATGTGCGTGACCTTTCCTTGAATATGCTTTCTCTATCAGCAGCTAAAATTACTAAATAAAGCACATGTACATTGAGATGTATAATGTGCACAATCATAATGAAATTGAGAGAACTTTTCGGACATACAACAATAATATGAATAACAAAGGCGGAATATTATGGACGAGATTACCTAAGAATCGTGGTTTACAGTGATTGTCTTATATAAAAAGAGGTAATAGCTAAATACTAGCCTAAAGATAAAATTCCAAATTGGCGGATAGAGGAAATTTTCTAGCGGAGCCATCATTGCAAAGTCTTATCATTGGATAGACTATATGCTAAACGATAAATGTGGGGGATTAATACAAACGAAGAAGATACCAATGACAATGCCAGATGATTTTTTTTCCGGTGAAATCAGGAATGAAATTCCTTTGTTAGAAAAAAACCCTTACATAATTATTAATTATCAATATTTTGATTATACGACTTTTTGTAAGTGAGTAGAAATCGTTTAATATACGAACAATAGACACTCCATTATCTTATAGAATTATCCATTTAGATCCCTTACACGCCCTCCAACCTATTTCTGCAGTTTTCAGACACCACCTGACGCAAAGACCGACGTCATGTTTTAAAAACCTGCGGAAAGTTTTCAACATCATTTATCATTGTAGACATATATAAAATCATTGCGTCCTAGGGCACTGCATATCAGATACTCATTGCAGTTATCCTATAAACGGAGAAGTAAGAGTGACAAATAGAAGTGTGTGAATGTCTGAAATCATTTTATAAACGTTTAAGTATGTGAAAGAGTGTGTACTTGGATGAAACACATCTCAACAAAGGTTTTTTGGAATTTAATGATATATGCAGCATATCGTTACCATTGATAATATTGTTAAGACATAAACAAACTGAAATCATGTTGATTACACGACCAGTTTACGAGATTCGGCCGAGAATTATAAGTTTATATACCTTGAAAATAACAACTGGTGTCTTCTTCAGAACAGCATTCAGCACGGTTTTCATAGTGTTTGGTCCTCCCCCCACAACAAGTAAAACGACAGGTACAAACCAAGCCTCTGAGGACAAATGCAGGGGGAAAGTGGTAAGATTCAACGAAATTTGTAATGATATCCTTTTATATTCAATGAGGATATTAAATTCAGTAATTCGAAAGTCATTGAGATAAATCAGCCACAGTAGATTACGTGTGCAAATCATCCTTTAACTACACGAACGTCTACGTTTCAAGTAAACATAAGAATGAAAATGATGGCAAATTGCATTGATGATTTTGTACTTTCATAAACGACGGTCGTTACACCTGAGAGTATACGTGTCGCCAATGCCATGATGTTTTTTATGTTATAGCAAACTTCATGAAATTAAAGAATGCACGAGTCAATAAAGAAAAAACATAAAAACAATTCATCTTAATTTTAAAACCGTAGAAAATCGTAATGAGCTGCACACCATTCTAAATACACTGGATTCATATCAAATAAGAGCGGTGTTTAAATCGGTACCTTTTCCCGAATCCATATTGAAAGTAGAGATCGCATGTTCCATTTCTGCTCGGTAAGCGCTTTCTTTTCCGAACTGATGTTGAGAACCGTCTTCCACTAACAAAAAGTGGGTATGGTTAGCATTCAGGGTTTTTTTCTTTTGAATTGGTAAATGTTCGTCTTTTCTGTATGAGGCTATTCCAATGGCGACTTTGGAGGATTGCTTTGCTGTTTTAGTATTTGCCGTCAAATTGAAATCTCGGACCGCTTCACCAACTACCTTCGTGATACCGTCATCACGTCCTCCACTGATTATCCATGGCACTAAAAGACAAGAAAACAATACAATGGAGCAAAACGTGAATGTGATTGTCTCTTATTACAGAACGAAATGTCTATTTTTTATGAAAGTCCTACTTAGATTATAAAATGATTGCGATGGCTTGATAACTGTAGAACTCGTTGCTCTGCATAAATATTTATCTGTGAAGATAAGTTACAAAACTTTTGTGACGTTTTGTTGACTACTTTGTCGTCGTTTTTGAGAAGCCTATATACGAAAAGGTATACAGAGTACGAGATTGAAATGTCATTCTCAAAAGCACAACGAAGTAGATTCTACTAGGGTATGCCATGCACAATGACATACAGTACCTTCAAAGATACTACCGCTTTTGTGGCCAAATCATTTGCGTCAAATTGACAGATAAAATGTAATACTACTCTCCCCTCACAGTGCAAGCCTAATGTGGAAATAAGATTTTATAGCATTATGGTGTGCCTTTACTTCGCCTTTGAAAATGCGCATGCAAGATATGTTCTGCGGGGACAGCGGGACACATGGGAATAGCCTTTCCTTTGAAACAAATTATCAACTAAAAATCGGAAGTTATACATCACTACTAGACAGTTATCTGGTGAAGGGTATTGGATGGAAAGTCACACAAATACAAGTCTGGTTTTATTAGTAATGATGGAAATGTGCATATTCGTTAGATCATGCCATCACTGGTCATAAAATGAAAATAAGGATATATCAGACTGTAATAGTTATACAACAAATCAAATCAAGAAAATAACAACATGTCAACATAATCATAATTCAAACCTAGCTAAAATTATATAAAACTAGGGCAAACATACCATTTATTTCATTATATATAAGGCAACTTTTAATTTCTATCGAATCATGCCAACAGAGTCTACACATAAAACAAACTTTTTTTTATCTCATCAGTGTTACATATGCATATACTGAACGACTTTTATATTTCCACAATATGAGCTTTAAAAATGGGAGGCATATGCATCTCCCCCAGTTTTCTTGCTAAATCATATCTAGGAATACCAGTTGCCCTGGCCAGCTGGATGAGTCCTCTCTTAAAAGCCTTTCTCAGGTTTGGCTCTATCTGAAAGCTTTTATCTGCACCAGTGACAGATATGACGAGCTTAGGGATTTCAAGATGCCACTCATCCACAAAGGATTTTAAAGTTTGGTGAAATTGTTCTGGCCTTATTTCCTTGTGAACATCTAACATGTACTACAAAGGTAAAACAACATATACACAAGTGTTATGAAATGTGATACACAATAATGTGCGAAATGTGCACAAATCATTTAAAATACACAGCATTGGTTTACCTAGCTCTAGGCAATGTACAAAATGAAAATTTGATTGTACGGAATTTAATTTGCATAAAACATGCATACGCGTAAATACTATTGTTATAGTTATCTTTTTAATAATTCATTTACTTATTTTCGTCATCAGTTCCGTCTTCATCAAACATCGTACTTGTTACATGTTTTGTATTTAATCGAGTTAGTTTCAACTTATAAAATTCTTCAATCAAATGAAATGCACATTTCCGTAAACAAGGACAATCACAGTACGTTTTTCACACCTACAGTGTTACTTACAGGCTGTTGGCATACGAACTTCATTATTGCTGATTGAAGGTCTTCGCTTGTAGATTGTGTGTAAGCCATTTTGATTTCCTAAATTAACAACAGACATTGCAAAAGAACATAACTGCATTTTGTAACTAAATATCAAAAAAGACAACGACTACACTTATTTATTTTTTACCGACGACGCCTGTAAAATGTTCTGGAGCATTTTTTCCGAAATTACATCGCAATGCTAACTCTGCTTGACTATTGCTTAATCTTACATAAGAAGATTAGTGTTAACTAATAGCTCTAAATTGTAACAATGATTTCGGTTAGCAATTGATGCAAAGGGTTCTGACCCCAGTTTTTAATTTCACAGTTCAAACCTTCACACAAACCCACATTAATAACATTTCTGTGGCTCGTTTATATACTGAACAAATCTATGCCAATGCTCCTCACTATCATGTCGACACATTGCATGAAAAACTTATTAAAGGGCGGGGAAATTGGCCATTGCACACCAAAGCATGAAAGTTGCTTAGCATAAATCGCTGATACACAATAATATAATCAACATCATCACATTTATGAAAACGTTTTCCTTGTTAATTGACATGTAAATGTCAAGGTGAGTAGTTGATGAAGAAACTCCTTTCCGTACTCTTAGTGGGGAACGTAATATTGCTTCCTTGTATTGCATAAACATAAGATGCTTATCCTCCCGAAACACCTGGGACTTTTCATTTTGTTTATATTCAAGGATCTATGCTTAAATGTTTCATCAGCTGAGAATCACAATAAATATTTTGTTGAAATTGTCTTGATTGTTTGTTAAAGTTAAAGCTCGTAAAATCATTGAAATCTTGCGGATAAGGTGAAAATAGAAGTGTGGTGAGAATTAACATCTTTGTTTATTTATCTATTTGTCAATTGTTTTCTTAATAAACTTTTCCAAAACTAATCATCAGAATGAATTAAACCTCCACATTAGCAAGCTTATATAATTTACGGTAACATTTCTTGATAAAATCTTTTAACTACAAATATCACTATTGAACAACTTCCAGTAAGCGTATGTAGAATTGAAATTAAATACTGGCATACACTTTACGTTTTAGTCATGGAAATGTGCCAAACATTTGTTTCAGAATTAATATTAAGGGAATATTCCTGATGATTTTACTTCATTACAAAATGTTATCGATGAAACTGACACTTATTTCGTAAAACCCATGTGATTTCAAGGTATCATGTAGACATATTAAAATACTTTAAATGAGGAATGTCTACTATTACTCAGTTACATTTTAGTGATTTCTTAAGTAGAAATATCATTTCTTTACTTAAGTGTTCAATATGATTTGCTGCTTGGAAATGCATGATAGAATGGTAAAACATCTCATTGGATGAAAAATGCTTTACCCAACCAATCCGTTAGTCTCCATTCCTCATACCATTCGTTGAAACTGTATGCAACTGCTGACTGCTAGGCACCACTCCCTTCACTATTTCCGAAACCATTCCTCAGCATAATCCATTGTCATCTCTTTTTTGTCCCTGTTAATTGACATATCAAAACAGATAGTACAGACCCAGTGCTAACAACTCTGTTTCTTTCCTAGAATCGGACATGACCTGATGAGTACAATATTTGGTGACATTGTCGATACAAGTTGCAATGTCTCCATTTGTTTTTAACATGGGTTACATAAGCGAGTATTATAGCAATCATTATTCTAATCCAGTCAAAACCTGGCTTTGTTCTTAAACCATTTTGTTACGATAATATCGTAAAAGATTTACGGTCACATGGTCTACACTAAATAGTACACGGATATAGGTATCACGCTTCAGGTGTTAATTCATCTTTTTATCTGTTACTGTTATCAGCGATGATTTAGATTCTTGGTCTAATTAGAAAATGAAACAAAAATACTCATTTTGGAATAAAAAGGATAATAATTCATAGCAGCAAGTTATTTATATTCTGAAGTAGAGTTAAAGGTTTTATTACTACAGTATAATAGCAGGCACACAATGTGTAGACCATGTCCTTAATGATGGGATGCCAACTACCAGTCGAACAATAACATATGTAATATTTCGTCAATGAAGTTCCTATTAAATGTTGAGCTTAAAAAAGATAAATTATTGATAAATGGTTTACGAAAACTGATGTTTTGTGTGTTTTGACTCCAAAATATTTATGAAAACTGATGTTTTGTGTTTTGACTACTAAATATTTATAAAAACTGATGTTTTGTGTGTTTTGACTTCTAAATATTTATGAAAACTGATGTTTTGTGTGTTTTGACTCCTAAATATTTATGAAAACTGATGTTTTGTGTGTTTTGACTCCTAAATATTTATGAAAACTGATGAATTGTGTGTTTTGACTCCAAAATATTTATGAAAACTGATGTTTTGTGTTTTGACTACTAAATATTTATGAAAACTGATGTTTTGTGTTTTGACTACTAAATATTTATGAAAACTGATGTTTTGTGTGTTTTGACTCCTAAATATTTATGAAAACTGATGAATTGTGTGTTTTGACTCCAAAATATTTATGAAAACTGATGTTTTGTGTTTTGACTACTAAATATTTATGAAAACTGATGTTTTGTGTTTTGACTACTTAATATTTATGAAAACTGATGTTTTGTGTGTTTTGACTTCTAAATATTTATGAAAACTGATGTTTTGTGTGTTTTGACTCCTAAATAAAATGTTGGATTGAAAGTATTGAAATCTGGTGAGGACCAAGGCGGTATAACAGATTAAAATACAAACAGTAGTAGTAACGCACGACGCACCAAAAATGGTATGCGCACATCGCGCATACACGCACGGTAGTAGTAGTGTTGTGTGTTTGCATGTGCAAATGTTTTATTGTTTATAATATTGTGTTTCTATTTAATTATAATAAAGCGAGTCCATGTATATTAAATCATTCTAAATGTATTACTATTATTGTAGATTTGTTTAGCCTATGGATGTTCTTAAAATAAACTTATTAGTGTTTAAAATAAACCAACTTCATGTATATATGTTTGATGAATATCTGATTAATGATTGATGTTATTTATGTGATATAATGATAATGTGCATGTAAAGGTGTGTGTAAATGTGTATGTATGTGGTATGTGAGTACATAATTCTTATAACTGGAATAAATAAAATAGCATTAAACAACAAAATAATTATATTTTTATTTATTATTTTTCTTCTGATGAAGGGGGCGACATGTCCTGATGTAGGGGGCGACCTGTCTTGAGATAATAGGAGGCGACTTGTCTTGGGGGCGACTTGACTTGATACCTTTACCGGTACCCGGGTATGTATGTGACAGGTCCGGATCCGTATAGTCTGGGTCGCTCGAATAACAAACACAATACATGTACTTAAAATTTTACCTGAGCATGTGAATTTTGTTTACAAAATGAATGAAAACTGAGAGTAATACAGAAGTACTGAAAATAACATTTTACGAGATTTTAAAGGATTCACTGCTCGTCAATTTAATGTATACATATATCGTATGTTTATAATGTGTGAATATACATGTGAATTGTCACTTTAGCTCTTTGTAAACAAATCACTTAAAATTACGAGTGCATCTAACTAAACAGTGTGTATCTGATATTTCTACAAGTGTCCAATCTAAATATATTAATGGCTTAATTATAAAATATACTTAGTTGTACTCTTGTATGTTTAGATAATCAACAAACTCTATCCCACACTTATTTATAAGTTGTCTATAAATTGATATTTACCACGATAGAATCGCAAATTTGTGCTATAGAAGCGCACATTGTGTAACGCTGTGCGATCCCTCAACTGTAGAAGGATGGAAGTGCTATGGGGTAAAATAAGGATTACGTACCTAGTCCTTGTTATTTATATCATGAATTTAATGTTCTGACAATTTGATAGTTTAACGAATGAAATATGACATGATGAAATAATAGACTGTCACACCGCAATACATTATCTTAAATTCCTATGGTAAAGATAATGTCAATTAGCGTTCAGAGAGCGTGACCAAGACACACGGATCCACTGATCTATCGCGGATGAAATTACTTTTAAGTGTGTGTGAGATCTGATATAAGTGTACAGCGAAAATGATTATCAGGAGCAACACATCTTGTTTTAACGCTTGTCACATTACGCAGAAGGCTAAACATTTACTGTCGTGCTCCGTTTATTGTGTAATATTTTTCTTAATTTAGTATTTGGAAACGTTTTGAATTTCATTATAAATTACCTATAGGCTTCCAGGCTTTTGAAATTCTTCATAGCAGTGGCTTTGAACAGGAGTGGTGTTTCGATCAAGTATGAAAAAACCTGTGCGTAATCTAACTCCGGCCACAAAGTCGGGTCGATTTTCCATTGATTTGAAGCTATTTTGTATGGATCAGAAAGATTTTTCAAATCCTTATCATACTTCAACTTATTTAAGTACCGCTTTAAGGCCTCGTTGTCGAGGCCTTTCGCATAGACTGACACGCTATTAGGCATGACTCATAGCCTACAGCACATAGGCCTATACGTATCAATGGCCGCTTCGCTCGATTGACGGCCAGTCAGTGCGCGTGCGTGAAAGTGACGTCATTCAGGGGATAGAGGCACTCATTGGCAAGGTAAACTTATTATGTGTCTGGGTGTCTTATCTCAACATTGTATCGCTCGATCACATACAATAGGAAATTTTAACATTTTAAAGGAGACACATTCGCGTTGAAAAAAAATCCAATTAAACATTTACATAACGTTATAAATTCTTAATTAGTTCGGTGTATTTTAGTTCGCTCAATTACCTGATGCAGCCGCTTGACTCGGAATTGATCAGTTGTGTTAATCATTCACTATGCATTAAATATATCAAGAAGCTTCCTTTGTTTGTTCGATATGCGAGCTTTTTAGCTACTTTTATTGATATCATTCTTAGTCTTAACAGCCCGTCAACACATAAAAGATCATTAAGGCCATCAACCGGTGAAACACACCACGATCCAAAAAAAGGAAATAACATCAAACAAACTAAAAGGTAAAAGACAAATGCTAAAAATCTTAAATGGTTATTT